GTGTGTGTGTGTGTGTGTGTGACTCTGTGTGAGTGTCTCTGTCTTACTCTATGTGGGCGCGCCTTCCCCTACCAAAATCCGCGCATGCCTAGAGGGAACAAGTACTAAACAGGGCCGGCGGTAGGAGAAAAGAACAGTACGCACCACATGCTGAGCGAAGCAGGAGTAACGGGGGTGGGACAGACAGGAGGAGGAGAAAGTGAACTGTCATGGGAGGAGGAGGAGGAGGAGAAGGAGGAGGAGGAGGAGGTAACGAGGGTAAGCATTAGCGACCCCGTCCAGAGAATGATAAGAGAGCATGATTACAAACAAGGGAGAGACGAGCAGCTTGCTTGGATGTACTTCTGAGTTGCCAGCCAATCTGGTTAGGTGGTTGAAATATTATCTTAGAATGCAATGTCGGGTTTGAAGACACTGCGTGCGAAAGCGACGAGACGGAGAGACACGGGAACGAAAGTGAGACAGTCACTACGACGAGGCCAGTGAAAGAGTAGCCGCCCATGTGAGGGAGATGCAAGGGCGGGCGGGGGGAAGGGCAGAGAATGAATGCATGCCCATCTGTAAGACTGTGTGGAAGGGGAGATCGATTGGCACCTTATTGCTGCTATCTGTCGGCGAGAGAGCACAGAGAGATGCACCGGGCATGTCTGGATCCTGAGAATGGTCGACGCCTCGCACGTCTCTCTCCTTTGCGGCTATGTCGGCGAGTCTCCTAGACGTCCACGCTGCGCTGCTGTTGCCAGTTCCGCCCCGCACGGCCCCTGAAGACGGAAACCCTACCTGCATGCCATCGAAATGGATCATGTCCGACGTGGAGTAATGAGGACGGTCAATGCTGACGAGGGTATGAGTGCCAGCAGAAGCGGCAACAGGCGAGGAAGCAGGACAGCCAATGCTAAAGGTGTGGGAGATGGTAGATGTGGTGAGAGTAGGGGAGGGGGAGGGGGAGGGAGAGGGAAAAGAAGAGGGAGACTTGTTGGAGCTGCTGAAAGAGGAATGTTTGGTGCCGTTGGAGAGATCAATAGCAGAATCAGGGAGAGGATGGGGAGAAGGGAGAGATGGAGGAAGATGGTGAGGGTGAGGGTGAGGGTGAGGGTGAGGAAGAGGGAGAGGGAGAGGGAGGGAGAATCGTGAAGGCTCGGTGGGATGAGACTGTCCCACCCGAGCCGGGGGGGGGAGGCTCGAACCCACAACCACCACCGTGTCTCGCGGACTGGTCGTGTTCCGCTGAGTGTCTATGGAATTCGCTCCGCCTCCCCCCCCCCCTTCCCCCCCTACAGCAGTCCCGGCTCCTGCCCCGCTCCCACACAGTACTGCCGACCCCGCCGATTCAGCGAGCTGGGCCTCCTGCGCGCTGCCCCCTTCCAGCATCATCGACACCACGCTAGCGCTCAGGCCTCGCTGCCTGTGCGGCTGCGTGGCTCGTCATGTCTCCCACTCTGCCCCCACACTGCCCGCAGACATCGCGCGGGAGCGGCACCCCTCGAGCCGATCTTCTGAGATACACGAGCACACACCCACAGGGGACACCACCACGATAGCGAGAGAACAAGCGAGCAAACAGAAGCGGCAGGGGTGTGCGAGCGCTGCGTAGCCTTGCTCCCGTGCGCGGGACAGCCGCTCAACTCCGCCGTTGTAGAGTACTGACTCTGCACGGCACGCCAAACCACGCCTTCTCGGATCGCCAAACACCATGCCGCACCGCGCCGCACGTAGTGCAACAACGCCCCTCTCTTTCGCACGACATCAGGGGCACGTCACGTCAGTGTCGCGGGTGTCACACGCGCGCCTTGCGCGGCTCGTCCGGTTTGCTTCGCTGGCGGGTGAGAGGCCGGGCCTAGCGGACCCACTCACTTGGCAAGATGTCGCGCGTCTGCCGCTCGCTTGCGACGCCTACACGCAATACAACCTGCGTGAGCTGACCAGTGACTGGACTGCATGGGCGACACTACCGCGATCGATCCCTTCGGCCGGACATGGCCTTCAGTCCTCGTGGATGCCCCGCCTAGACGCCTCGCCTACCCGCGGGGCCATGCCCGGCCTCCCGACCCCTCGAGATTCACACTGATACCTTTTTTCCCCCATACGGATACCAAAAGGAAAAAGTTCATAAAAGGGTGAGCGCATCCGTTCAGCTGACCTCTTTTT